AACGTCAATATTTTCAGAAAAATAAACTCAATCAAATGGCTATCTATAATTTTTTTTTTTGGAATAATTAAACAAAAAAATGTATTTTTTAACTTTTGTACCGAAACATTAAAATAAATTAAAATATGAAATAATTGTAGTTATTATCCCTGTGAGCCTTATTATAAAACCAGAATTTCAATATCACAATTATTTCGGGAGATATCACAATGGGTAAATCCTCACGGGACATCCTGTATAAATATAATATAATTATTTTTATTTTTTACAATAGTATTAATTCTGAAGAAAGGATTCTGATATTTGGGACAGTAGAATGTATGAACAATTGATCAAAATCAAGTACTTGGATTTAGATGGTAATTTTTCACTAGCACAAAAATTATTTTTACAATTGAAAGATTCTTAGAAGCTATTTCATACAACACACAAAAATTCAATTAGATTAATTTTTCTAACTTTATGTTTACTATAATATTATAGGTAAATGCTTGATTATTAAATTTTCTTATATAATTTATTTTATTAAAAAACGACTGATGGGTGACAACTTAATTACAACTTACAGAGTACTCTCACGTGTTACTAATCACATKTAAAATTGCCTATATTTGTTAAACTTATTTTCCTTGGTGTGTTTATTTTTTGGGCTTTTTTTCTGCTAGGTTTTGTTTCTGGRCTTTTTTTTCCGCGATTCTAAGAGGGCTTCATATTCAGCAAATTTACGCTCAGCAGTTAATGTTTTATTCGGTTAGCTTAAAAATTAGAGTGAATAGACCTATTATAAAWCTTGATGGTAAGAACATTATCTGTGTTCTGATAGAAGTTTTTTATGATAGTTTTTAAGTGAGTTTTGAGCATTTTTATTTTACAATTTATTATACACGCATACTCACTAAGAACTGAATTATCGTAAAAAAAAACACAGTTAATGTTCATATCAATAATTTTTATAATAGGTTAGGTTCACTCTAATTTTTAAGCTAACGTAATAAAACATGAACTGCTGTCTGCTGTGCATAAATTTGTTATGTTATGTGTTTGTAAGACTGAGACAATAAATACGAGTGTGGCGTCCTTTTAAACTTTTTATTTTTTTTATGTATTTAAAATCTGTAATATAATAAAATAATAAGTAAATTTGAGATTTTTTTACAAGGTTTGGAGGCTTTTGACATTACTTCAAACGGAGTTTTTTTTTTTTATTTAGTGAAGTAAACCACGAGGCCAATTTCGTTTTAGTCGATGGGGAGGGTTATCCGGGAGAGTCTTAGAGGAGAGGTTTGAAATTAGCGGGTTTGGATGATTATTTGTTTTAGAATTAAATTTTTTATAGTGTGTTGAAGCGAGGGTGTGAAGAATTGGAATGTTTAGGTCTTTATGGATTGTATGATTGTCCCTTAAACTTCTGATTCATTATATTTTTTGTTCATCATTATTGTATACTTTTATTGGCCTGTCTGCCAAAGTTTTTTTTTCAACCAATATTTAAAAAAAATTATATCTACTTTTATTTTATATAATAATTATTAATTATGTGATACATAGTAAAATGTTTTTATGTTATATTAACTGTCTTTGTTTTTATATTTCAATCAATTTTTGATTATTTTAAATTTTAATATTTTTGTTTATACAGAAAGGGTCACTTGTTAAATTCTTGAAAGAATCAAAATCATCAATGTAGTCAAACAATTGATTGTTACAATTATTTTTCTTAGACTGTTCTCATCACTCTATTAACTGTGATTTAAGGTCCCCGTACACTTCAGTAGTAGTGGTAAAATGTGTACAGACACAATTTACCATGATTACTGCAGGGTATGTTGACCTTTATCAATTTAACTTTAATATAATATATCAAAATATATGTCCAGAAGTTTCAATTTCATGTTATTAGCTTAAATAGATTAAATTAGAGTGAATTCGCCTATCATAAAATTTAAAGGTAAGATTATTATATGAGGCACGATGTAAGCTTTTATTAACACTATTATTTTTAAGTAAGTTATGAACTTTTTTGAAACTTTAGGACATTTTACCTTTAAATTCTATAATAGGATACTTTACTTTAATTTTAAAAATGGAAAATGGATTCATATTAACATAACATTTTTTTATATGGTATGTTTTTAAGACAGAGACAACACATATGGTTGTCACATCTTCTTAAATTTTAACTAGAAAAATTTTTGAAATATTTTTTTTCATAAATCTTAACAAAAAAAATTAACAAGTAAAATAAAACCAAACAAATGTTTATTATGAATAATAATTTTATCATTCTATTAAGTTAAACACATTTTCTGAAAGTTTTGTTAAGTTTYTTGAGGTTTAAATGTCTCTCAAAATTAATTTTAATTTTCACCGTTATCTACATTGTTTTATTTTGTTGTTGTTTAAATGTCCTAGATTAATTATCAATACAATATTATGTTRTGGAATTTAAAATGTAAATATGTACTCTGATACTTATGAACTTAATTATTTTTTTTTAATTAATAGRTTAGAGTACCTCTGTGGATTACTGAACCACTGATGCAGCAACTAACTGTAGAGTTCTCATCGAGAGCAAGAGAATTTTTAAACTCATTGGATACCAATGATATTGAGGCGACTATAATAAGCATATTGAAAGAAGATCCTCGGTCAGTTTATGTCCGAGAACGTTATAGTAATCAGTTTTATACATTCTTAATTGGAGGCTATCATGTGAGTTGCAAGTTTGATGATACTAAACACACAATAAGTGTCTACAGAATATCATACGTTGATAGTATGGACAATATAGCTGATCAAGAAGGAGCCCAATGTTTGTCTATAGGTTAGTCCATAAGTAATTAATAATAACTTAAAMTTTATTATTATGTTCCTTTTTTCATCTATTCCTATTTGAAATATGATTATGCAATTTATAAAATAGTTAGTTCTGCTAGTGTGGTATGAAAATTAATTTTATTGTTTTTTATACAATACGAATAATCAACTATAAACTTAAGTAATTAGATGAGATTTTATAACTGTTATAATTCTTAATTTTAATACTATAGATTAGCATGATTGTTTACATTTTTTTTTTACAACAGATTTAGTATATAATATGTTTACTGATGAAAAAAAACCTCAGTTCAAAGTATATGTTCCATCAGTTACATTATACTAGATTTTTTCATATTGATAGTCTGAAACATTACTATAAATATTATTCATCATGGTTCTACCTATAATCGTATCAAAATCAACCTTCGACATTCGTCCGTATAGTAA